GTTGTGATTTGCCGATATCGCCCAGGAACATCTTGCCACCGCAAACCTTATCTCGATTCCAGTTGAGATTCAATCACCCGGCTGAATGGTAGGCGGTCTTGAAGTACGGTATAGTACATTTACTGGATTGGACCATCGTGAAGTCGATCACTAGATCTTATACAGTCTGTCGCCGTCAAAGTATTCGACTCGATATCACAAAGTCGAGGCAGCCCCGTCGCTGAATAGAGACCGTTTTTGCGTTGGATTCATCGTCTACAAAATGCCTTTATCTCCTGGCTGGTGATCAACCACAACGGAGCCAACAGGTGGTCGCTAAACTCCAGGTACGGGTGATATTGCTGTCAGTTTTTGCTTTCCGCGCTTAGCGGTGTAGAAGGCGGTAACAATCTCCCCACATTGCTTAATAATGCCCCTCAGATTGCCCCTCAGTGCCTCTGCCCGCGGAGGAAGATCCTCCAGATCCTCAATTCAAACAGCAGTTGAAGATCAATTGACTGCTTGTTTCCTTCCTTATATGCTTTCTCACTATATCAGTTCTTGACCATGACAGAATCAGTTTACTCCAGCTATCCTCCAGCTTTGGATTCCGCACAGAAGGAGTTCCTGGTGAAAACAATCAAGGACTGGGCCACGCAAAATGGTCTCGTCGTCCGGCCCTCGCCGACCTTCGTCGCGAAGGAGAATGACCCTCAAGGAGTACTGGCGACCAATGCGCCAGTGACCTTGTTCCCTAGTCTTTTTCCCAAGGCTTGTTTTGAAGAAGCAAGAGCTCTTCAGACCGTATACAATCAACTCTACGCTGCGATCACATGTGACGAAGACTGGATTGGGAAGATCATGGAAGAGTAAGAGCCTGCTTCTGCTTCTCTTTGAATGAGACTAGCACCCCATATTTCTGCGTACATGCGAAGATGGCCGTGTTTTGGCATTCGAAATGACCCCAACTAAATATATCTGCATGTAGTCTGATTGACGTCGACGATTTCATCTCAAACCTCTGGAAAGTCCATCTGGCAGTCAAGGAAGAGGGCTATACCCAAAACTTATCGCTCGGCCTCTACCGTTCTGATTACATGGCCCATACCCCGTCCGATGCCAGCTCCCCCAGCCTGAAACAGGTCGAGTTCAACACAATTTCCTCGTCCTTTGGCGGCTTGTCATCTCTGGTGACATCTCTACACACTGAGCTCCTCAATTCCCCACCAGGCCACCCAATCGCCTACCCGTCGCATCCTTTGCTGGACAATAATCAACCTCCCGAGAATCCTGCCGTGGAGACCTTGGCTGCAGGTCTGGCTGCAGCCCACGTAGCCTACGGACCCTCCAAGTCCACTCCAGCTCTTCCCACCTGTATCCTCTTCCTCGTCCAGGAGAACGAGAGGAATATCTTCGATCAATTGGCTCTTTCCCGGGAATTGACCAAGGCTCACAAAATCCCTGTCTTCCGTGTCCTTAGCTCCGAGATCCTCGACCACACATTTATCCACGACTCGAACCCCTCGAGGCCACTTATCTACCAGCCCCCACACTCCAGTGGTACCCAGTTCGAAGTGACGACTGCCTACCTCCGTTGCTTCTACGCGCCCACCGACTACAAGTCTGAGCGTGATTGGCAAGCACGGACACACCTCGAGCGCTCTGCCGCTATCAAATGCCCCACCGTGCTCAACCAACTCGCTGGATGCAAGGTCGTCCAACAGGTTCTGGCCGAACAGGAAGGACCAGATCACCTGGCCAAGTTTCTTTCCGGCACTGATGATGCCACGATCTCGAGAGTCAGAGCGACTTTTGCTCCGCAATATGACCTTTCGTCCACTGGCCGCGGGCAGAAGCTTGCTCTGAACCTCGAAACTGCCATGAACCACGTCTTGAAGCCACAGCGTGAGGGCGGCGGAAACAATGTGTACAAGGATGCTATTCCTGAATTTCTGCGGTCGATTCCCGAGACCGAATGGAAGCGGTGGATCCTAATGGAGCTTATTCATCCACCTGCCGAGGCCAAGAACGTGGCGCTCCGTAGTGATGGGGAGGTACTCAGTGGGCATGTTATTGGAGAGCTTGGTGTCTATGGAACCATTCTGTGGGATCAAGCCAACGGTAACATCGTGCAGAATGAGCAAGGTGGGTGGCTGATGAGGACCAAGGCGAGAGATGTCAATGAGGGGGGCGTCGCGACGGGGTTTTCCAGCTTGGACAGCATTGTTCTGTACTAGATCAATTCTCGACTAGACTATGTAAACCATTATAAATTCTCATTGTCACTGGCCCCAATCACCGATCCATACTACGTACTTATAAGAGATTTGTAGTGACGTCGGCGCTGATCTTTGCGGGGAAGTCACACGGGGCCCGTTGCAACCTTAGATTTCGACAGCCCCACTGAATCTATCTTGTGTGCCATAGTCTTGGGTTTAATTTATTGTGATTGCGAGTTTCCGATCAATTTGACTTGCAAATTAGTCAATCTTAAGTAGCGATTGATTTGCCACGAAAACAAATTGCAGGGATCTTGATAAAGGGGTCCGACTACGCCCGTTATCGCAGATCGACAAGGGTTGTGCCTACTGACTGATAGCAACTGATAAGCCCGCCGCGACAATGCAACCTGACTGCATCCGGCCAGCCAATATGCGGAGAAAAACCTGGGAAGATCGAGCTTGGTTCATTTACAATGTGACATCTTATCCCTCGTCTGCCTTGGCAGCTGATAAGCCCTGGGTTACATACTATGCTAAGGTTCTGGTATAAACCTAAGGGTCGATGACGCCGTTTCCTTAAGAAATTGATCCCCTTGCGTCTCTACCATCCTGGCTCATACCTCGTCTAATTCCGCCTCCCTTCTTCTCACTCCTCGAATCCCTCATTCTTGCACGTTTTGTGACTGCCTCATTCTCACACCCCCGTCTGGCTGAAGTATAATGGCATCCAGCTCCAGCTTGAGTCCACATGACACCAAGACGAGCTCGGTTCATGATGAGCCTGTGAAGGCGAGCCACTACACCACTGAGACGGGGATCATCGAGGATGTCGTCCGGGTCACAGATCACCAGGCAGAACGGCAGCTGTGTCGGAAATTTGACCTGCGTTTACTGCCAGTATTGGCTTTGATGTGTAGGTCAATCAGCTCTAGTCATAGGCTACGCCCACTGATGTATGGTCCAGATCTTTTCAATGCGTTGGACAAAGGCAACCTCAGTAACGCCGAAACGGATGGCATGAGTACGGGTAGGAGACCATTCTTTGACTCCGATAGGAGACACCCGTGCTAATGGCTCTAGACCTGCACTTCAAGCCGAATCAGTACAACTTGCTGCTCTCCATCTTTTACGTACCCTATGTCATCTTCGCGCCGCCCTTCGCCATGCTGGGCAAGCGCTTTAGCCCAGCCCGGGTCCTGCCCGTCCTCATGTTCAGCTTCGGCTCGTTTACGCTGCTCTCCTCCGCAGCCAGAAACTTCGGCGGCATGTTCACGCTGCGCTGGTTCCTGGGAATGTCCGAAGCGGCTTTCTTCCCTCTGGTCATCTACTACCTGACAACCTTCTACCGCCGCGGCGAGCTCGCCCGCCGCCTCGCCATCTTCTACGCCGCCTCGAACATTGCGAACGCCTTCTCGGGGCTCATCGCGTTCGGCGTCTTCCAGATCAAGAACTCGACCATCCCGAACTGGCGGTACCTCTTCATTATCGAAGGCAGCGTGACGGTCCTCTTCTCCTGCTTCGCATTCTGGTACCTCCCACGCTCCGCCAGCGAAGCCACGTTCCTGAGTCCCGACGAGAAAGCACTGGCCTATCACCGCATCCAGGTCGACTCGTCCGCCGTTGTGAACGAAGCCTTCAATCTCCGCGACGCGCTGCAGATCTTCCGGCACCCGTCAACCTACGCCTTCCTCGGCATCGAAATCTGCCTGGGCGTCCCCCTGCAGGGTGTCTCCCTCTTCATGCCGCAGATCATCCAGCGCCTCGGCTACTCCACCGTGAAGACCAACCTCTACACGGTGGCCCCGAACGTGACGGGCGCCGCGATGCTGCTCGTGCTGGCCTTCGCGTCCGACGCCGCCCGCCTGCGCTCCCCCTTCATCGTGCTGGGGTTCCTGCTCACTTTCACGGGCTTCATGATCTACGCCTCCATCACCGACGTCGAGGCCCAGATCCACGTGGCCTACTTCGCCACCTTCATGATGACCTGGGGCACCTCGGCCCCCAGCGTCCTGCTCAGCACCTGGTACAACAACAACGTCGCCCACGAGGGCCGCCGCGTCCTGCTCACCAGCATCGGCGTGCCCCTGGCCAACCTGATGGGGCTGGTCGCCAGCAACGTCTTCCGCGCCCAGGACAAGCCCAAGTACATGCCGGCGCTGGTCACCATCGCGGCGTTCGGCGCGACGGGCGCCGTCCTGGCGGCGGCGCTGGGCATCTTCATGTGGGTGGACAATCGCCGCCGCGACGCCCGCGAGGGCGTCAAGATGCGGGCGCAGGATGTGCCCACCGAACGGCTGAGGGATGGGCCGGCCGCGGTCGAGTTTCGGTGGTTCTTGTGAAAACCTTTTGGATTATTTCATTCTGTCACGTCGAAGGTTTTTGGTTTAGCTGAACATAATGACCATGATGAAGTTATGCACATCCCACCATCGCCCCCAGTTCAGGGTTAGCACATCATAGGCGTTGGAAGAGCGACCCACAAAACGGCACTGGCGAATTCAATCCGAGTAAAAAAAGCCGACATGCAGGGTCTCTGTACCGTACCCCAATTCGGGCCCCAAAATAAGCTCCACCCAGCAGGAACAGTAACCGTAACCGTCGATTAATAATTTGTAAACGGACAGTGGGGCCTTATGACATCGACTTATAGGTCTTCCAGGATAACGTAACTGTTTCTGTTGCCTTCTTTTCCTTCTTATTCCTTATTGACATCTACTCTTCAGGTTTTCCTCACTTCTGACTTCAGACAGTCTGCTTTTTCTTCTAGAGAAGCGTGATCAAAATCAGCTGCAACTCAAAATGAGCATCCAGCAATGGACCACCCTCCTAACGGGCCTGGCGAGCCTGCGCCAAACCACCGCCCCGCAGCCCACACCAGGCCCCAATGAAGTCCTCGTCGAGATCCATGCGGTCTCGCTCAATTACCGCGACATTGAGGGTGAGTGATTCCGATAAAACCGATTCCCCCCGGAGCTATACCATGGAAACTAACCATGCAATCCGACGAGCAGTCACGAAGGGCGAATACAACCACCACAAATCCGTCACGCAGGAGACGCCCGCCACGGTGCCCTGCTCGGACATGTGCGGCGTCGTGACGCAGGTCGGCCCGTCGGTCTCGCGCTGGCGCGCCGGCGACCGCGTCCTCTCCACCTTCCTGCCGGATCACCTCACGGGCCAGGTCACGCCGCAGATGCTCGCCCGGGGCATGGGCCACCCGCTCCCCGGCGTGCTGGCGACGCACCGCGTCTTCCCGGAGCAGGCGCTCGTCCGGGCGCCCCGGTACATGCGGGATGCCGAGGGTGCCACGTTGCCGATCGCCAGCGTCACGGCGTGGATGAGCGTGCAGGGTCGCTTGCGGGCGGCGGTGGAGAAGGGAGAGGATGTGAGCCGGAAGGTCGTGTTGGTGCAGGGCACGGGTGGGGTGGCGGTGGCGGGGTTGCAGATTGCGAAGGCGTGGGGGGCTAGAGGTGAGTTTTTTTCTGAAGGGTTTCGTCAGGTCGGGCCGCGGGGTGTATAGGCGTCTGTGTCTGTGTGTGTGTGTGCTAACTGTGGCCAATCCCTCAAGTTATTGTGACCTCCTCGTCGAATGCCAAGCTCGAACAGGCGAAAGCCCTCGGAGCCGACTTTACGATAAATTACCGGACCACGCCTGACTGGGAGGATGAGGTTAATCGCTTCACCGAGGGGAATGGCGTGGATATCATCCTTGAGACCGGGGGCGCGAAGACGCTGCGGAAGAGCTTCGAGTGTATTGCCTTTGGCGGGTTGATCAACTGCATCGGGTACGTCTCGGGGAAGATGGATGAGCCGGAGGATCGGGTCAACGTCAACCTGTTGACCCTCCGGCGGAATGTGACGCTGCAGGGGATTATCAATGGGCCCAGGGATGAGTTTGAGAGGATGGTCGAGTTCTATGAGAAGCACCAGATCCAGCCGGTCGTGAACCGCGTGTTTGGGTTTGCGCAGGCGCGGGAGGCCTTCGAGTTTGTGGAGAGTGGCGCGCACTTTGGGAAGGTGGTGATTGATGTTGTTGGGGCATCTCAATGAAGAGTTTGTACGTATGATGAGAATGAGGGTGGTGTAAGCTTGTGAGTGTGTACTAGCTTTGCCGGTCTACTGTTGCCTAAGGAGTGCGTTTATGAGTAGGATTCTTGACGGGAATCTGGAGATAGCGGAATCCTGACTTCCTGGCTTGCTGTCTGTAGGAAGGCATTAATTGTTTTTATTTGCAACACGCTTCAAGGCAGCTGCATCTTGAAATGTGCTGTACAATATAAGTTATGCTCAAATCAAAAGTGTTCACAATCATCTGGCAAAAATGCATACAGCCTTATGGCACTGCGCTAACCGAAAGGAGTACGTCCGACGGCTCCTCGGAGATGCCTAGTACGGCAACTCCGAAAACTGCGAGCAAACGACTTTCAGTCTGCGCTGGCTCGGTTTCTCATCATTATCGAACATTTAATCTCATCCACCAGAAAACGCACCAAGCTTGGTTAAGGAAACGTGGTGCAGATCATTCAAACGCATTGACTCATGTTGACATAGAGGATGTCCGTCGACAACTTCCAGCGCAGCTCATCCTCTGTTTGGAGACTGACAGCTCACTACTGCAGTCCGCCTCTTGACGGAGATACATAAGAACTTTCCGGGGCTACTAGTTAGCGCAATCACGCGGGGGTCAAGCTTAGTCTCATCTCATCTCATCTCATCTCATTTCTCTCTCATCTTATTCCCAGACCCCCTTTCTCCGCAAAGCACTGCCATGGATGGAGATCCTCTGCTTCAGCCCGACCCATCCGGCCCAACCTCGCCGGCGAAATCGCCCGCCCGGCGGCGCAGACCGCCCTTGTCTTGCACCATCTGTCGGCGCCGCAAGCTGAAATGCGACCGCGCGCTGCCATGCGGCCAATGCCTCAAGTCCAAGACCCCTGATCAATGCGTCTACGTCGGACACCAACCCCCCAAGTCTGACGCGCGGCGTGGGGAGAATACCCCCTCTGAACGTGCGCGGGCATCCGCCGCCACCAGTCGCGCCAGTCCCGCTCACGGTGGGTTGTATGTGTTCGACTCCAAGCACCATCAGTCGTCGGCGAACAAGATCACCAAGCCCAAGGCGCGCTCCGACGAGCTGCACGAGCTGCGCAACCGGGTGCAGTTCCTGGAGGCCGCGCTCTCCAAGACGGGCCCCATCCACACCCCCGAGAGCCTGGGGTATGACGCTCCGTCGGAGGCGGCGGGGCGCGTCGTCGCCCCAGAGGCCCAAAACCTCACGGACGACGTCAAGGAGCTTTCATCGCGATCGTGCTTCCGCGGGAAGAAGAGTCGGACGCGCTACTGTGGACGCTGCCATTCGGCTGTCACTCTGGCCTTTGTAAGTGAGCTGCGCTTATTTTTCTCTCTCTTTTGGAGTGATTGACTGTCCCTGACCTTGTCTTGTGTAGTTCGATGATGTCTCTGTTTTCATGAGAGGGCAGCGCAGTAGCTTGAAGCGCAATCCGGACTACAAGAACTTCAAGAGTTTCAAAGGAGAAATGTGGGCCCGCGAGCGGCAGGACCACCAACGAGCTTTCCGCAACAAGTCTTGGAATCTGGAGGAGATGGTCCCGCCGCGCCATGTTGCTGACGAGCTGGTGAACCTGTACCTATCAACCTTTGAGATGACCTACCGCATCTTACACGTGCCGACTTTCCTGGAGCAGTATGAGGCTTACTGGACAGCGTCGGGCCCACGAGACCGGTGCTTCGTTGCGAAACTCCTAGCCCTGATGGCTGCCAGCAGTTGCTTTCTTAGTCCGACGGCGAAGATCGATGGTCGAGAAAAGCTGCACGATGCCGCCGCAGAATGGATTGCGGGGGTCCGCTCCTGGATTGCCTTGACCCTGGTCAGCTCGACCATTGATTTCAATATCTTGCAGATCGAGTGCCTGATTCTCATTGCGCGCCAAGCGGATGCTATCGACGGGGACATTGTTTGGATCTCTTCCGGCTCCCTCATTCGTATTGCGATGACAATGGGCCTGCATCGGAGTCCCTACCGATTTCACAAAATGACCAAATTCTGGGCCGAGATGCGACGCCGGCTCTGGGCCACGATTGTAGAGCTGGACTTGCAATCGTCAATCGACAAGGGAATGCCGCCCAACATCGACCTGGAGGAATTCGACTGCGAGGCCCCATCGAACCTCGATGACTCTCAACTCACGGAAGACATGACGGACGACCCTGTGCCAAAGGATCTAGGAACCTTCACCCGCAGCACCTTTCAGGTTCTACTGCACCAGACCCTGCCGCTGCGGGTGCACATCGCCAAAGCCATCAACACGCTGAAATTCACCCTCTCCTACGACGAAGCACTGCGCCTGAGCGAGGAGATAAATCAATCCATGCAAGAAGGGGCCGGCATATTCCATCGCATGGGAACTGCCATATCCGCTCCGGTCGGTGAGGATCCTTCCTTCGCACAGTCCATGCTGGTGTTCTTGATGCGACGATCGCTGCTCGTGCTCAACCGTCCGTTCGCCCTCAGCATCCTCCGGACCCCGAAGTTCTCCTACTCGCGCAAAATCTGCCTGGAATCGGCGCTGCAGATGCTCTCTTACCTCGAGCCCTCGACGGAGGCGCAGCAGGCGCTGCCTCAGCTGGCGCATCTCAGCGGCGGGATGTTCCGCGATGAGTTCCTCCATGCGGCCCTGACGGTGTGCGTGGAGCTGTACCTGCAGTCGTGCGAGTTCAGCCTCCCGCAGTCCTTGCCCATGGGCCCGTCCAGTACGTTGACATCCTTCAATGATCTCGTCCGATCGCAGCAGGAAGTGATGCTGCAGGCGGTGCAGCGGACGATCGACACCTTCGGCAGCCGGATGGGTCCCAGCGGCAAGGGCTGCAAGGCATTTTTCTTTCTCACCATGGTGTTGGCGTCTGTAAAGGCACGGATCAACGGGCAGGACCCGCAGAAGGTGATTGAGCAGGATGTCGTGGTTTGCATGCGGCAGTGCGAGCAAGTGATGCGGGGGACGCCGTGGGCTGCGGTCCGCGACCAGACGGGCAGTTCCGCGATGGTAAGTTGATGAATGGCAACTCTGAATGTCTCCATTGCTAATTGTTTGCAGCCCGCTACCGCTACCAGTCTGCCGTCGCTGGATGCTACAGCCCCGATCGACACCTTTGACCCTGCCTCGTTCGGGCTGGATGCGGTAAGTTGCCTGCTCTGGGAGTGTACACGACAGGATGCTGACGAGTGTTTTAGCCGCTTGATTTCGGAAACCTGTTCGACATGGCGGATTTCGGGGTGTCGGAGCTGTGGGATCGAGATTTCTTTGCCAGCTTTTAGTTCTGGGATGGGGTGGGGTTTGCGGTGGGTTCTGGGTAGTACACATAACAATAATGACCCTTTTAATTAGTTTATTCTTATGATGGATATCAGCATCACGACTACCCTTCTCAATGAACATATATACCATATGGCGCTTAGCATCCATACCCCCTGCGATTTTGACATACTGCCTGTAAGTAAACTGTATAGGCAACACAAACACTCACCACAGCAGTCTCGGTCGAGCTACCAACTCAGCTCTTAGAAACAAGAACGAATGACACATTTTCAACCAAAGCACATATATACATCGCTCCCCTCCCATCCACCCCCACCAGAAAAAGCGAATCCCAACAAGAAATCTAATTCTTCAACCCCTCCACCAACTCCTCCACACTCTTCATCTCCCGCGCATTATTCTCCCCCACATCCAACGCCACCAGCACCCTACTCACACAATTATACCCGGCCACCCCCGTCGTCAACTCCACCACCTCGCGGTCACTCAGCCCGCCCGCCCCATCCGCCCGCAGCGCCGCAAACGTCCCCTCCCTGACCGACACGCGCAGCGTCATCTCGTCCGCATACTTGACAACGGCCTGCTGCCTCCCACTCAGCGCACTTCCCCGGAGCGCCGCCGGCGGCGCATCCTCCTCCGCCGTGGAGGCCAACTCCCGCACGGCCTGCAGCTCCGCCGCCTGCACCCCGCCCTTCAGCGCGAGCGGCGCGTGCGCGTTCCACTCGTACACGGCGCCCGTCAGCACCGCCACGCGGCACACGGCCAGCTCCAGCAGCCCCGGGTCGATCACGGTCTCCGTGCGGATCGCCCCCAGGAAGCTGTTCCACCCGTCCGCGACCGGCGGCGAGTGCAGCAGGGAGAGGTCGAGCGGGATGAGCGGCCGCGGCGAGCGGCGCGCCGCGATCCGGGCGTAGATTTCGCTGACTTTGGCCGGGGAGTTGGCTGGTGGGGTTGCGGGGGCGTAGGGGAGGCGCATTTTAGTTGATTTGGAGCTGAGGGGGTAGGGGGTCAGTTTAGGTGAGGTTGGATCTGAAGGAAAGGGGGAGGAGGGGGCGACGTACTGTTTTTTTTTTTTTTGTTGTGGTGTACTACTGTAGGTTGTTGTTTGCGTGGGCAGGGCTTGATGTTGGGTTGGACAGTTGAAGGTGGGCTGCGCGGATGGATAAGGGTAGCGCCGGGTGTTAAGTTATATGCCAGGCGGCGGGGGAACATGCATTTCCACCCGGAAACGCGGGTGATTGCGGGGGAGGATGGCCTGAACGGCTAGCCTGTTTGGGAGGGGTGGGGGCCACCGCCGGGTAGGACCAGCTGCCGTCGTTCGGCATGTTGTACCCACTCGTTGCCGAGTGTTCGGCCCGATCTTTTTACTCTGGATTTTCTTTTTTTTTTTTTTTTTTTTTACATTTGCCCTTTTGATGACTGGTGTGTAGATCTGGATCCTGGAGGGGTGTGGCGGGTTTTCCCGGATCTTGTGGTATGTATTCTTCCATTTCAAAAAGTGCTTCGCGCTTGGACTTGCTCTGCGGTCGTTGCTGGCAGTATGTATACCAAGGGTTCGATGGGTTCAAGGTTGGATGGTTCAACGTTATTTGAAAATAATTCTATTGTAGAAGATCCACTTCAATCGGCTGGAATAAACATTCGAGGTATTCATCTCAAAAAGAAAACCACAATCGCTAAAATTTATATACACAAGACATTTTGCACAGGATCCACTCGCTCAGCGTCGCTTTACAACTTCTGACCCTTGTTGAAGCGCTCGAAGGAGGAAACGGGAGGAGCCGAGTTGGGGTTGGGGTGGTGCTTCTTGAGCGCCATCGTGACGTTGTACTCCAGGTCCAAGGTGGCCTTGGGGTCGTCGGTCTTGGGCTTGAACTCGACGATCAGATCGTTCTTGACGGCGAACACGGAGTCGATGTCAAGGTAGGGATCGGTGGAGGGGTAGAGCTGGTTGATGATGGTGGCGTAGTCGGGGTGGGTAATCATGAGGTGAATGTGCGCGGGGCGGAAGGGGGAGCGGTCCATGAGGTTGAGGAGCACACCGGCGGGTCCGTCGGTGGGCAGCGAGTAGGCGGTGGGGTGGTAGCAGTACCAGAAGTACTCGCCGTTCTCGTTGGTGCGGAACTTGCCGCGGAGGTTGTTCTCGCTCTGCTCGGGGTCCTGGAAGTCGTACATGGCGTTGGCGGACGCCTGCCAGATGTCGAGGACGGCGCCCACAATGGGCTTGCCCGTCTCCATGTCGGTGATGCGGCCGTGCATCCAGGTGACCTGGCCGTTAGGGAGGGGGTTTTGGATGATGCTGTCGCCGAGCTCACGGAAGGGGGCGTTGGGAGACCAGAAGGGTCCAAGGATGACGTTGGAGGTGGGGGAGAGACCCTGCTCGGTGACGATCTTGTTGGCGATCTCGTCGACAAGGCTAGAGAGGTCAGTTTGACTGCAGCGACGAAATGTGATACGTCCGGGAAAAAAAAACTTACGACTCGAGACCGATAACATCGCAGATACGGTGGCACTCGTTGCGGATGGGAGTGCTAATCTGGCCGATGGAGTTGATGAACTCAACACCCATCATCCACTCGGCGGGAGTGAGCTCGACCTCACGAGCGAAGTCGTGGATGTGCTTGATCAGAGAGCCCAGAATCACACGAGCACGCTCGGGAGTCTTGGGGCCCATGGCGTTGACGACATAGGGAGTGAAGTTGGGGTCCCAGCGAGGTTCGGCAGACATTTTGGCGGTTGTGTGTGAGGGGAGGAAGTTGTTCAAAGACAAGCTGGGTGATGGGGATGGAGAAGATGGGGAGTCAGAGAATTCAGCGACAGTCTGGAGCACTCGAGGGGTCTATATACACGGTTCAGCCAGGCGTGGCAAGTCTGAATACGGACCGTGACGGCAAATCGTTCGGCTCGTTTGGGGATGTGGGGGGAAGCGCAACGGTAAAACCACTGTTCCCACATGCCGATGCTTTGGAGGATGGCCTGATCGTGCAATTCATGGTCGCATCTGTCGGATCGTCAGCCGAAAGACGGTAGGATCTTATCAAAGTATCCCGAATTTACTTCTTGGTGGGATATAGTGGTCAATGGCACTCCGGGGGTAGCTAAAAATTGCAGCTGTATGGGTAAAACGTTCGATGGGAGTGGTTGCTGCGATCGCGCGCTGGTGATCCCGGGGGAGCTCTTACCCGCTCGTACCCGCGGCTAAGAGCTCAACTCGGCTGACTCAACTCTGGCCCCCGTGATTTTCTTCCCCGGAGTTGTCAATCCCCCCCAGCTCGCCCGCGGTTCCTGGCCTCATCGTGATTGCTCGACTTTTAATTGGCCAATGGCCTTCCCGACCACAGATCCGATTCTTTCACGTGACCATCTCCGAAGTGTCTGCCGTCCGGCACGTGCCAAACTTTCCAGAGCCGGATGCGGATAATGAGGCAAAATTTGTCCGCCAGCTGCCGGAGCGGTGCACAAAAACATCTGACCATACTCGCCTCAGGGGAGTCGGCTTCTAATCATGGTAGTAAATCGAATAGCCAGAGGGAAAGCCAACTTCCATGCGGATCAAGTACTGCAACGCGCTCACAAAGTCAAAGTTCTTTTCGACTCGACTCGATAAAACACAACCGAACACATGACATGCTTGCGACAGCTTGTAAATCATTTTGTTTAGGCAATAAAATTAGACTTGGACTTCATTATCATCTATCTATGTACTTTATAGGCTATTGTCTGCATTTCTAATCATACCAGATGGCGTTCATGCCGAATCCCATCTCAGGGATATCAACCCGAGCCACGCGAGCAAGGTTCTCGTCGCGGAAGCGGTAGATCTCGACGAAACCAAGTTGGTCGTCACACAGAGCAAGCCACTCGTCGCTGAAATCGCAGGGACTGACGGCGTTGGAGTGTCCGCCGCTGGTCGACGTGGGGTGAATGAACAGCTGGCGCTCGATTTCTCCGCTGGGACCCAGCTTGAACGCTGTGATGTACCCCGTGATATCGAAGGAGTTTCCGCGGGTGGTTGCGAACAGATACTTGCCGCTCTTGGTGGTGAAAGTCACATCACCACGGTACTTGTTCCGCGGGGGAAGACCTATGCTGAATTAGTGTCGATCTCAGAGAGCCTCGAATAGTAAAATATCGAGTCTCGGTGGTTTTGGGGCTGGTTCAGACTTACCGCCAGGAAGCAATGGGTAGGTGATGTGGGTGAAGACTGGCTTATGGGTGCGCTCGTCGATAACGTACACGCCAAGTCGGTTACCCGCCTCCATCAACACATAGAGGTATTTACCGCTGGGGTGCATTTCAACCCAGCGGGGATGGTCACCCGGCGCGGGCGCCTCGAGGCAGTCAACCAACTCCAGCTGTCCCGTGGTAGCATCCTTCTTGTGTGTCCAGATCTTGTTGGCTTGCAGATCGGCCGAGTACAGATATGTCTCCGTGGGGTCAAAGACCATGCCGTGGATGCCGGTGTTCGGCTCATACTCGTAATTCTGGATGTTCTCGCGCAGGCTGCCATCCTCGTTGGTGGAGAAAACATTGCCGTAGCCGGCGTATTTGTAGAAGGGGTTGCCGTAGACGTTGTAGGGGGGCTTGTGCGCGGCGAGCACGAAGATCGCACGGGTGTTGGTATCAGCGCTGGCAGCCAATTCTGCGGGAGGGAGATCAGATTTCGCAAGCTTAGACGCAGCAGAGCAGCAATGCCTTACCATGACCAGCGACGGGGTGGGAAGCTTGGTGGACAATGTCGGTAGGACTGTTCACAGCAAAGCTGTTCCACTTCTTCATAGCAGCGCCATAGATAGCTTTTTTGTCGTGCTTTTAAGAATGACTTAGTTTTCCGAGCCAAACTATCAAGGTGGCAGGCAAAAACATGCTTACCGAGAAAGTCATCCAAGAGATAGGCTCCGCCTCGGGAATGTCGGTCTTCTTGACCAAGTCCAGGGTCAAGGCTTCGTCATCGAATGCGACCGTGTAGATGCGTCCTGGAGGGGTCCAGGTACCGACCATGAGATGGTGCTTCATTTTCGTAGGTGGGGTTGCAGTGAAGAGGGAAGCGGAGAATCGATATGTCGGAGTATGACAGAATTGAGCGCTGAAAGAACCAGCAGAGCTCGTGAGAAGGGTGGACGATGCTGAAACGGAGGGTGCTCGAATTGACGACCAGAGACGGAGCATTATAGAACCATCACTTCTGGGACTCGAAGGAGGGGGAAGAGTATTTCCTAGCGTTGGTTCGGCAGGGAAAAAGTCGAGGCACCGCCGACTCGGGATCTGGAGACAGCCGAAGCCAGACTAGAGCAATGAATGCGGGGAGCGGCAAAAGATTACGGCACCTTGCGTGCATTGACACCTCAGGCATCTGGATGGAATCTCGAGGCTCAGACATTAGCCTAGGTAGTCATCATTAGCTTAGCACTTAAAAATGGCTAGCTTCGGCCTCAGCTACAGTAGCACCAGCACTAGCCTGTCCACCGCTACCACGGCCCTATTACCCATAAGGCAAGGCGGACTGAGCTTCCCCAACACATCATTGATCATTAGTGACGCAGACTGTTTCAAATGTTGACTGGAACAGGGCCCCCAAGGACTGCAGATCTCCGAGCGAAATAAGGGGGAGAAGGGGGCGAAGGGTGCACAGATATACAGTTGGAGGCGATAGAGCTCCTCATGTAACGGGTAAATGCATGTGGGAATAGGAGCTGTGGCCCGGGGCACGTAACCAATATCCTAATCAGGATAACAACAAATGCCTCCTCCAGGTTTTCGGGAGGGAAGGCGGAGTGATGGACATTTAGACACGGAGTGGAAAATTCCAGTGGCTGCCCCAGGCCAATCAGGCTGCCGCGGGCAGCGCAAAGGCGGGGTTCCCTTCCCCGACTAATGCCATTCATGATCTCACCTTCCCTGCTTCCATCCAACTGATGGTACTGATTGTTATACAGCCCTGGTCTTAACTCCAACTGATCGCTGCCGTTTCATCAGACCTACGACATCAGTGCGAAGCCATGGCAGCCCAGACCAGTGTCAACTCCGACGGTTTGTTCCTTTTATTTCCGTCCCTCTTCCCAAGCTCCGACCGACCTTTCACACCACCCCTCGTGTGCTACCTCCAGCCAGCTTTTACCTCTGGCGTTTCCACTAATTCCATTTGCATATCTCTTCTCCCAAGTAACGTACTTAATAACCTGATTTGCTAATCTCTCCAATGTCGACCTCTGTAGCTACCGCGACCTCGGAGCTCCAATCCTCTCTCCGTGAGCTCGCTCTCAACACCAAAAGTCCTGTGAAAGACATTGCGCGCCCGTCATTACTCCCCCACTCCGCCCTCAAGAAGAAGAAAGCTGCCCCCGTGGCAGATTCCTGGGAAGATGAGGTAGACGAGAGCGCCTCCGAGCCCGACGAGCCGGACAACAACCCTGTGCTGTCGCCGTCAATCCGCGCCTCCGAAGACCCTCTCGACCCTCCCCCTACCCCGCTCTCTCCGCAAACAACCTTAAACCAGCCATGGCCCTCCTACGGCAACGCCGGCTCCATGCCCCGATCATCAGACTCCAAATCTCCAGTGTCGGGCCGCCGGCCCGAGAAGCAGACGGCGGTAGCGAACCGAATGATCGCAGGCGCACTGGGTATTCGAGCCCCGAAGCGCACGGAAGAGCAGCGGGCATACGATCGAGCGGTGAAAGAGCAGGAGATCAAGCGGAGAAATAAAGAGCGCGAGGAAGTCGCGAAGGCGAAGGAGGAAGAGGAACGCGCGAAGGCGGCTGTATGGGATGCATGATTGCTTTCAAGACTTGAACTCTGTTAATATAAGGCGTTCACATTTGATGTATTTTGATAACACACTACGCTAATCAAACCCACATATCCTATTTCAATTGCTCGTTGCTGAAGCTTAGGTAGATGGGAGTACCTACTGAGTGGGCTCGCGCACAGCGCCCAACATGAAATGTGTAAGCGATTGAGGGCTCAGAGGTAGGCTGATATGGAACGATTTCTTGGATTCTTGGGGGTTCTTGGCTTGTTCTTGGTGGTTGGAACTAGCTACGTTCTCCTCACGTAAACAAGAGGTGAAGGCCTTATCACGTAGGCTGGATTACTCGGAAAAACCAACATATTGCATATCACAGGTAAATCAAGCAGTGACTAGCAGTATCGTGCCGGACTGTGCTTCCATGTCAAGATACTGGATTGGAGAATGAATCTGTCTCTTCATGTTCCCTCCCTGGCCACGAACATTACAATTCACCAAGATTTTCGAGAAATATATAAACATCATACTATATAGATACTCGTGTCGGATTTATGATCGAGTGACTAAAGCAGGGAGAATCAGTATATAATCATACAAGACCTCACTAAACATATCGGTTGAGTTTTAGACGATGTGTGTTGTAGGATTGGAGGCCAGGGAGGGTTCTTCATTCACTTGATCTTCCCGTGGTTCTCTCAATGTAAATGTAGAGCATGATGGACTGCTCTTCTATCATCCGAGTAACACGGGCATAGCGAGGCAGACACCCTGGTCTGAACCGGTGCCTGGAGTATCAATTCAATCCTAATTGATTGCTGTGTTTCTGCTCTAGGACTATCTACCAACTGAGCATACAACTCTCCACCTCTGCCTGCACGCTTCTTCATCAATCAACACTAGAGCACGAAGTACACAGTCTGATTGGTTGTTACACTTCCTTCCAATCTGTTCATAAGCAATCTCAGACTACTCATTTCGACTCGAAGATGGAGCAGAAAGGTCAGTCACTTGTGTTTCAAAGGCAGCAGAGGATATACTGACTTCGGCATAGAGTCTACCAAGACCGGTACTGGGACAGGTACTGGTACTGGTACTGCAACTGGTACTGCAACTGGCAATGAGACTCGCTCGTACGCCGTCTGCACTCAGGAGCAAGTCCGTTATGAGTGCGGACATTCGAAGGATGGACGTTTTATCAAGTGCAAGAAACATAAGGGAAAACCAGACTTGAGATGCCACAGCGGGAAGTTGGACTATGTTGATACAAAATGGTCGTCACACAAATGCCGCTGGTGTCTGGATAGCGACTGAGAAGCTATGACGATGCTGTGTGAGTGTACAGATCCTCATTAATCCATGAGACAAGTCTGACCCATCAGCGCGTAAAGACATCACGTCGTCATCCGTGCTTTCTGCCTCTCCCAGACTCATCCCTCAGATTGACCTCAAGAACATCTACCTCCCTGGAAGCTGCTTCCGAGTCGACATCGGCTAGCGCAACTGTGGATTCAAAGTCGATTACATGGGCACCCTTATCGGTGATGAGAAAATTGTATCTATTGGTGTCCCCATGAATAAAGCCGAAGGCATGCAGTAGGCGAATTGTCCTCGTACACTCCTCAAGATTTCGTATGTCCGGTGGATACCCTGGAATATCCTCCATAAGAAAGCCGATGGTCCGTTCCCTTGTATCCTCATAAGCATACCCAATAAAGCGCGGGGCAAGTGGAAAGCCGGATTCAGAGAGCTCGGAGTAGATAGCGACCTCCTGCTGCAGATACCGAATCTCATGTTTGAATTGCGCGATCTTTAGAATCCATATTTCGCCATCGCCCTTGACTCGAAACACGCGAGCACCGATCCGAAAAACCGTTGACAGGTCTGAGATATTGTAAAACTTAGCTGTAGAAACGTCGAGCTTTGCGAGATTCAGTCCATGGGGCTTGAATTCGTCGAGAGTGCTTTCAAGGCCGTGAGCGCCCCTTCGCACTGTGATTGTTGTCCATTCTTCCTCCCACCGTGGGACTTTCCGCAGGTGCAGAAGGATTCGGTAGCTATCCGTTCTGTAGTCGGGTGGAATAACATCTCCATCGAAGATCCGCGCATAAACTATGCGGTTACCCTTCCGGATTCGATAGAGATAGTCATTTTCCTCGAGATCTAGACACAGTACTTCTTCCTGCAATTATGAGAAACGTTGCGTTAACGAGATACGCGTCAAGTTGACTCACATCCGGATAAGCTACCACAGTGGGCTGGAGTGAAGACGCAAGTGATTCAGTGTCGTTAGAGTCGCTATCACTGGACGACATGGTGGGCTAAATTCGATGCATAGTTCTAGAATGGATCAACTGATAAGGTGCAGTGGCTGAGGTGGGTTTGTTGACGATAAGGATTGGGTTACAGTAACCATGGTGAAAACCAGCACTAGCTATATGTGGTTAGTCACACAGTAGCATAGCTGATGTAATCATTTGTTCCATTTACACAAGTGCTGACATCATCACTCTTCGAGCCAGTTGTCTAGTAAGCCAATCCCACAAAGAGACCAGACGCGGGCAAATGCACCAAACTGGCTGGCTGCTTCCTAACGTTCCCGAGTCTGTGGCACTGACCTCTATTCCAGCCGTGGTGCGGCAGGAACTAATTTAGTTTGCAGGCGCGAGCAATTTGCATTCTGCAACAACCTGGCTAAATTAGTGCCTGGAAATCTCACTTTTCCAATGACTGGAAGATTGCTCGAGGAGATCGCATCCGGTTCCACTTCGACCATTGCTTTGCAAGCGACTAGACCCGCCGATCGGAGGCCCATGCCAGCTCTTATGTGGGGAAGAAAGGCCATCGACTCCATTCAATCCATTCAACGCCCCTGGAACTGGAGACTACTCAACCACTAAATCTCACTAAGATACGCCATTTGCCAGTGAGCATGGAAAAGCTGAAGTTTGAGGCAAGACAAAATGGCTTCGACATCCACGGGTACGTGGGTACGCCGCTGCTTGGCAAACTTTAATACATTTCGTCTCCTGCCTCTCCCTGCCGTGCCCCGGAAGTTCAAGCTCTGACCCCTCAAATAACGGGGGCCTTCTCCTGTCGCTCCTTTCATCATCATCACCATATTCATTTTCCCTTCTTCCCTTTACCCCCCCTCCTCATAGTGAAGCTGCTTGCTCACCATCCACAGCATTCAGCAATGGCAGGCAAGCAGCATTCTCCAACGGCCTCGTCCGCCACGTCTAGTGCGGACGGACTGGCCGATCCCGGAGATTCACAATTACTTGGTGAGTACTCCGTAATTCGCCGCCTCATTATGCCGATAGCAATCGGCTCACGATGCCTCAGCCACCCTCGGATACAAACAGGAACTTCGTCGACAATACTCCACGGTCCAGATCTTCGCTGTCGCATTTAGTATCATGGGTCTGGTGCCCTCGATAGCGTCCACCCTCGCCTTCAACTTACCAGCTGGTCCCGCGGCAATGACATGGGTAATTTCACCCAACTCGAGAGACATGCTCATTGCAGGATCCGAAATCGCTAATTATCCTAGGGCTGGCTCGTTGCAAGTCTCTTCATCTTCTGCGTAGGATTAGCATTAGTATGCACTCCGGGATATTGTTGCTGGGAGCGCAGCTAACGCCTCCATCTTGCTCCAGGCCGATATGTCGTCAGCTATGCCCACAGCCGGTGGGTTATATTGGTGGACTCATTACTTCGCAGGCCCCAAATATAAGAATGCATTAAGCTTTTTGGTGGGATACAGCAACACCATGGGGCTAGTCGGGGGGATGTGTTCGGTAGACTGTGAGCAGATATGGGTTAACCATGAGTCAAGACATTCGCTTACAGGACGACAGACACACTTACGCTCATGATTCTTGCCTGCGTCTCTATAGCACGCGACGGTGCGTGGTCAGCCTCGAACGGTGTCATCTACGGTGTATATGTTGGCCTCATCCTTGTTCACGCCTTATGCGGCATTTACACGGGCCCCATCATGCCCCGGATCCAGACATTTTGCATTTTCATCAACATCGCCATTATTATTGCCACTGTCATTGCTCTGCCGGTGGGCAAGGTCGCTAACGGTGGGACACTCAACCCTGGCAGCTGGGTCTACGGGCATGTGGATAATTTGACGACCTGGCCGAAGGGATGGGCCTTCATCCTCGCATTTCTAGCCCCAATTTGGTCCATTGGATTCTTCGACTCTTGCGTACACATGAGTGAGGAAGCTTTACATGCTGCGAAGGCCGTGCCCCTAGGAATCGTCTGGTCATCGGGCTGTGCATGCGTGCTGGGATTCTTGGTACTGAGTATCATTGCCGCCGTGATGGACCAGGATATTAGCACAACATACGATTCCATATACGGACAGCCCATGGCGCAGGTCTATTTCACAGCGCTTGGCAAGAAAGGAGCCTTGGGGTTCATGGGAGTGCTGATCGTGATCCAATTCTTGATCGGGCTGAGCTTGGTACGTCTGGAGAAAGCCTTTGCTTGGTGTGCGTCTTCTAACAATAGACATAGATTGTCGCCGCTTCCCGACAGGCCTGGGCGTTCTCTCGAGACGGCGCCCTGCCATTTTCAAACTACTTTCGCCACGTGAGCAAGCGCATTCAGTATCAGCCGGTACGGGCGATGTGCGGCTTCGTAGCTGTCTGCATTGTCTTTGGTTTACTATGTTTGATCAATTCCGTCGCCGCCAACGCGCTTTTCTCGCTCTTCGTGGCCAGCAATTACGTTGCCTGGGGCACCCCAATTCTTTGCCGGTTGATCTGGGGTAAGGAGCGGTTCCGTCCGGGCGAGTTCTACACCGGGTGGTTCAGTCGACCGATCGCAACCGTGGCCGTGGTGTGGTTGATCTTCGGTTTGATTTTGTCAATGTTCCCTAGCACAGGCCCGAATCCGAGCCGTGAGTGTCTCCCTCTTCCCAGCGAGGATGGCTGACTAATGATGATGATATAGCTTCGGATATGAATTACACGATTGTGCTTAACGGCTTCGTCTGGGTCGCTTGCATGACGTACTACTTTCTGTTTGCTCGCAAGTGGTACACTGGACCCAAAATGACTGTTGACGGGGTTGACTCTCGGGTGGAGAACGACAGCAGCCGGCCAGGGAGCAAAGACCCTCCTTCTGCCTAGCATTTGATCTGGTATATAGAGCTGTGTTTTAAAAAACATGAAGGATAGATGAAACATAGATTTGGAGCAATTAGACATTTCTATATCTAATTTGTCATATGTTTTGCAGCCAGTATCTTGGAGTACCTCGGTCCTTCATCCGATTCGAATTTAATAAGAAATGGTGGTGCTTGGTTGCAACAGATGGGCGTTGCTGGCGCGGTCTTGCGTTCTTGCTCGGTCATGATACAGCGCATAGTTATATATCCGTGCGAACTTCATAACGCGGCCATCTGAGCTTATAATGATGACGCATCCTTACATATACAGTATCCACCTTCTCCCGGCATGGGATCCAATTACCTCGACTAATTGAGCGTTGTAATAACAGACATCACTTGTGCTCGATGCACTGTGACCTGACTGGGAAGACGAGCCCCGACTGATGCCTGAGGCACTACTTCATCAACTCCATGCTGACTCATCTCCCAAGTTGGGTTATCGGACTAATTACGTATCGCGCGTTTCGAGGATGCATGTCAAAGTTATAGACAACCTCTAACGACTGACAGAAATCTCCCCTTCAATGCCAGTAAATATGCTCTCCAGGATTTTATTCAAGAGAGCCGGAGCCAGCCAGCGCCCAGCGGGCCTCGCGCGCCTGTTCTCCTCCACCACCCAGCGGATGGACCCCGATCTGTCTTACCAAGTCTTCAAGCCCGAGAAGGACGAAGTAAGCCGGGGCCCGATCATCTTCCTGCACGGCCTGTTCGGCTCGAAGCAGAACAACCGGAGCATCAGCCGGTAAGCCAAACCTGCGTGTTATGTGGTAGCGGATGACTGACAATGAAACTGCAGCGCATTGGCCCGCGACCTCAAATGCGAGGTCTTCACCGTGGTATGCATGCATGTGCCCTGCTTATCTTGAGTCGCGTTGGGTTTTATGCCATCCAGACGGCCTGAACTCACAGGCTAGAGGTTCTGATTCTGATGTTCTTGGTGGTGTGGCTAGGACCTCCGAAACCACGGCCACTCGTTCCACGCCGAGGAGCACAATTACTCCGTGATGGCGGAGGATGTGGTCCAGTTCATGCAGCAGTTGAAGCTGGAGAAGGCTGCGCTGATCGGGCACTCGATGTATGACCTTGCCCCCCGGCCAGCCCCACTCTATTCGAGAGTCTTTTTTTTCCTGAAAAGAAACTGACACCTTGGTCTGTTGTGAAGGGGCGCCAAAGCCGCAATGACCGTCGCCCTCGAATCCCCGCGTCTCGTCTCGGCACTGGTCCCCGTGGACAACGCCCCGCGCAACGCGCCCCTCAAGAGTGACTTCGGCAAGTACGTCCGCGGCATGCAGGAAGTCGAAGCCGCCAAGGTGACCAAACAGTCCGATGCCGATAAGATCCTGAAGGAGTATGAGGAAGTATGCCTGCCGTTTTCCCGCGCCCCCGCACACACAATCCCCTACCCTCCTTGCCCCCAACATAAAAACACTATCTAACCAGAGGAGAAAAGTCCCTCCCCATCCGCCAATTCCTCCTCACGAACCTGGTCCGCTCCGAGGAGGACCAGACCATGAAATTCCGCGTCCCGCTCGCCGTCCTCGGCGAGTCGCTGGTCGACATGGCCGACTTCCCGTACGCGGAGCCCGGCGCGAAGCAGTACGACGGCCCGACGCTGTTCGTCCGCGGCACGAGGAGTCGCTACGTGACCGACGATGCGATCCCCGCGATCAAGGCGTTCTTCCCGCAGGCGCGGATCGCGGATGTTGAGGCGGGCCATTGGTTGATCTCCGAGAATCCGGAGGCGTTTAGGCTTGGTTTGTTTTGCCCCTTCCTTTCATGGTCGGTGTTGGGGCTTGAGCTAATATGGTTTGTGTTTTAGCGGTGGTTAAATTCTTTAAGGAGTTGGATTAGGCTCAGTGTTTGAACAGGTTGGGGGGTGCGGGTGTATATAGGTTGGGCCTGGGCTTGGGAGTAGATTCGTGCGCGTGATAGAGCTAGAGCTAGAGCTAGAGCTAGAGCTAGAGCTAAAGGTTGGTTGCATGTATAAAAGATTTCTTTCTTCAACATGTTTCAATAGAATGGTATCATCATCATTGGTTGTTCTTCAGTAGATAAAACATGCAGGAGGCGATAGATAGTAGGAAATTGTATATAACACAGGAAGAAAATCTTGCTTTTGGTCTTGCAAAAGAGAAATTCGCCGAACCCAAAACCAGGAAGATATAAGAACCGAACGAGTCCCCAGGCTCACCCTGACAAGAAAGACCAGATTACAATCCTGTAGGATGGAGGAGCTAATAAGACATAATCGTAGAAGATGGGGGGTTAGTTGGAATAGAAGTTACAACCCACGGCATGACGTTTAGTCGAGGGCATCGGTAATACAGCCGTGGCTGGCGTCCTTGACAAGTCTAGGGGACAAGGATTAGTGAGAATCCTTGATTGATGGAATGTTTCAGAAAAGAGTATACGTACCTAGCGTACTTGCCAAGAGTTCCGCGGAGGGTCAGACCAGTAGGAGGCAGCTTGCCGGCAGTCTTATCGGCCTCCCACTGCTGTCTTCTCGAGGCCAGCTCTGTGTCGTCGACATCCAGATCGAGGACACGCTTCTCAGCGTCGATGGTGATCACATCGCCGTCCTTGACCAGACCGATGGGACCGCCGACGGCGGCCTCGGGGACAATGTGGCCGATGAGGAATCCGTGAGAACCGCCGGAGAAGCGTCCATCGGTGATCAGGGCGCAGGAGTTACCGAGACCGGCTCCCATCAGGGCGGAAGAGGGCTTCAGCATTTCTAGAGGACATATGTTATTAACGAGGTCCCGAGAGCGTCAAAAAGAAGCACCGGTTGTATTCACTTACCAGGCATGCCAGGGCCTCCCTTGGGACCGCAGTAGCGGATGACAACAACAGTCTTATCCTCCTTCTTGATCTCATTGCGCTCGAGGGCGGCAATGAAGTCGTCCTCATCATCGAAGACGCGGGCCTTACCGGTGAAGACGAGACCCTCCTTACCAGTGATCTTACCAACACTGCCACCAGGGGCCAGAGTACCCTTCAAGATCTGGATGTGACCGGTGGGCTTGATGGGGTTGGACAAGGGACGGATGATCTTCTGATCCTCGGGGAAATCGGGAACCTTCTCCAAGTTCTTGGCCAGGGTCTGACCGGTAACAGTCATACCGGATCCATCAATGATACCCTCCTTGAGCAGGAACTTGAGCAGGGAAGGAGTACCACCGATGTTGTGCAGATCGGCCATGACGTACTTGCCAGAAGGCTTCAAGTCGGCCAGGAAGGGTGTGCGGTCGGAAACAGCCTGGAAATCTTCGATGTCGAGCTTGATGCCAACGGAGTCCGCGATGGCGATCAAGTGGAGAACAGCGTTGGTGGAGCCACCGGTGATGTTGACGACAATCATGGCGTTCTCGAAAGCCTGACGGGTCAGGATATCGCGGGGGCGGATGTCCTCCTTGAGAAGGGTTTTGATGGCCTCACCGGCTGCGAGACACTCAAGGTACTTGGCCTGGGACTCGGCAGGGTTGGATGAGGAACCGGTGAGGGTCATACCCATAACCTCGATGGCGGTGGCCATGGTGTTGGCAGTGTACATACCACCGCAAGCACCGCCACCAGGGCAGGCGTTGCGGATGATGTCAAAGCGCTCGGGCTCGGTGATCTCCTTGCTCAAGAACTGTCCGTAGGCCTGGAAGGCGGAAACAATGTCGATATCCGCGTTGTTCTGCATGGAGGCGCAACCGGGCTTGATGGTGCCTCCGTAGACCATCAAACTGGGCCGGTTGACTCTGCCCATCGCCATCAACACACCGGGCATGTTCTTGTCACAGCCGGGAATGCTGATGTTGGCGTCATACCACTGACCGCCCATGACCGTCTCGATGGAATCCGCAATCAGGTCACGACTCTGCAGGGAGAAGCGCATACCCTTGGTACCCATACTGATACCGTCACTGACACCGACGGTGTTGAATTGGAAACCAACCAGTCCGGCCTTCTGAACACCCTCACGGACACGGTTGTTCAGGTCCATCAGGTGCATGTTGCAGGGGTTACCGTTGTACCACACAGACGAAATTCCAACCTGAGCCTTGTTCATGTCCGCCTCGCTGAGACCAGTGGCGTACAACATCGCCTGGGAGGCACCCTGCGAGATGGGCTGGGTGATATGGCGGGAGACCTTGTTGAGGCCGGCATCCTTGTCGTCGGCGTTCTGGTGTCTGGGAAGGGTGGTGGACAGCGAGCGGCTACGTATTGCAAAGACATGAGTCAGTATGTGTCCACTATCATGCAAAGAGCTAGACAACAATGATATCACTCACCTGTTCAAAGAGCGCTGGCTGAGGCTCCGGAGAGCGGCGGGCATACGCCCGCGGGTCTGTGAGAGAAGCATTGCCGAATCGAGAGCACGCAACTCACGGGGTATCAAACGGAAGCTTGATTGAGAGGAGAAGGGTCGGGGTGAGGGGTAGGAGAGAAGTTTAGAAACCCTGGGCCATAACACAAACAGGAATAATATAAGGGAGCACCCGGAGGTCAAGCAGAGAGTCACACACAGCTGGGAAAAATGGGCCGGGGGCCTCCGCAGCGAAGTCGGGGCCGGAGTTGGACAGATTCTCCCCGCCACCCAATCCTTGCCCATCGTTTGTCAGCCATTACCCAATCATCGGCCCGGCTGGGATGACTGAGCTGAGCTGAGGCCGGTCTCGACTGCTTTTTCTGGGGAGCTACCTCCAGCTAGCTGTCTTGGGTCTAGTGTCCCGGTATATCAGTTCCACCGCTTCCGACACAGCTGTGATGACTGCCAGGTCACGGTACGCTTGCCCCAAACAGGCCGAGGTTCTTGCCGCCGCGCTTTAGTAGCTCTCTGTAAAACTGACGCCAGTTGTTGTGATACTTGCTTGTCTTCCCTTAAACAATTTTGTTGTATGCTCCTTTAGAATACTTGATCTTCTCAGACCACTACTGAGTCTGTTTCCTGGCTACAATTTCATAATATCCTATAATCTTGCTGGAAAATACACATTGCTTTGCTCCCTGCGCAGAATGATGCTCTCGTGCGACCAAGTGTATACAATAAATTACCTACAACCAGCTTCAAGTTCATCGAGCCAACCATGGCAAGATAGTACTAAATGCGACATGAATACAATCAATCTTTCTATACTCGACCTCGGAAACCTATTTGTAAGGTCATGTGGCATCAGTGGCGAGCTCAAGTGTTACACTGTGCACCGTCGTCTGGAAGAAGAACAGTAACAATCTCCCACCTGATCAAAGAGGATCTTGTGAGCTTTGAACTAAAGGCTTTCTCTGAGGACTAGCCTAGTCATTTCCTGAACGTTGTTGTGGTCAAAATTTTAACTGGAAGCATTGCTGCCTTCCTTGATATCGCAAGCAAGGGAACGCGGCAGGAATGCAGTTGGTATGCAAGCCCTGCAGCACCCTTGCCATTAGCCAGGAACCGACTTCTACGCGTTTACTCTGGTCTGCCTTCTTGTCTAATCTGTCGCCCCTATCCCCTCACCTTTGTCGACACATCGCACCTCCCGAGGTGCTGAGGTTTTATGCGGGATGACATTCAGTCGCGAAATGGCGTCTATTGTGCTTGATGCCTTGGGTGTTTCGCTAATAACTGTTTGTACAGTACCAGCTTTGATCACGATAATCCGTCGCTTTCAGGAACCGAAAATCGATAGTGCATCCGATTCACCAGACACATCTGAGACGCCACTGTTCGGTCTGTCGAGTTATCAAGATGAGGACGGAGAAGCCACACAAGGGTCACTGGAAGCATTCACGGCTTCGTGGCAGCGAGTCGCTATAGTACTCTTATCGGTCCTTGGGTTTGGGGTATCATTGTCGCAGGCTATCATTTCAATTGAATCGGGTCAACGCCAATATGTTATTCCCTTCTGGTTGCAGATGGGGGGATGGGTACGTCCTCAATCATTATTAGCTCACTCATTGAGCTCACTAGCATAGCTCGGGTCTGTTTTAACAATTGATAGATGGTACTTTGTCTACAAGCCGCTAGTTTCTTCCTCGAATCGGCACCGGTCAAACGATATGTTCTCGGAATGTACGCGTCTGCGGCTAGCTGTGCCATGATAATGATGCCATGTGTGGATTTTGGGCTTCTTTGGCGCTCTGGAGAGTTTGATGAGTTTGGCCGCTTATCCACGAGTCTCATGACGAGCCAGATTGGCCTTGCCTGTTTACGAGGTCTCTTCTGCGTCTTGATACCCAGGCGTCCCAACGTATATCACCAAGGACAGGTGGTAGACCAAGAAAAGAGCGTAAGCATCTTGGGCAGAATAACGTTCAGCTGGGTCAACGGTCTCTTGCGATTTGTGGCGACGAATAAGACTCTGGAACTGGACGACCTCCCAAGATTGCCATCAAGCGCTCGTGCTCAAACTCTCCATGCAAGGCTTGAAAGAATGCGCAACTCTCGGGAGCTGTGGAAGGCGCTTATACTGGGACACGCCCGGCCTCTCATGCTACAAGGCACGCTAAGTATAATTCAATGTCTGCTTGGGTTTGGACCTCAGGTAGCTTTGTTTGGGATACTAAAGTCACTCGAGGATCGTTTTTCTTCTCCGGGGGACGCAAACTCAACATGGGTCTGGGTTCTTGGGCTGGGAGTAGTCCTCGTTCTGTCTTCCAGCATTGAATCATGGTTATGGTGGATCATTTATTCTCAGTTATGGATTCCGATTTACGAAGGAATCTCAGCTCTAGTGTTTGCCAAATCATTACGGTGCAAGGACGTGAAGCAGCTAAGCCACTACAGTGAAGCAGACGAAAAAGATGATGACGCCGAAGAGACAGAAGACTTGGAGCAACAAGGAAGCCGCCAAACTGTTATCAACCTGGCTACCGTGGACTCCAAGCGCATCGCTGACTTTGTCATGTATAACTACCTGATTCCATCTTGCATTCTTCGACTGGTCATGGCGTCTGCCTTTCTGGTTCAATTGATCGGATGGAGAAGTTTACTGGCTGGTGGTGTTGCGGCAGTTCTGGTGACACCGATGAACACCCACTTGACCAAGAAATATTCGGCAGCCCAGCAAGATTTCATGAAAGCTAGCGACAAACGAATGAGTGCGGTAGCGGAAGTTCTACATGGCATACGACAAATCAAGTTCTCAGCTCTGGAACAGCAATGGCAGGATCGAGTGTCAGAAAAACGCCGTATCGAGCTCAAGTACCTATGGAAGACATCCCTATACACCACTGGCATGGTTTCTGTCTGGATTATGGGACCGCTCTTATTGTCTGCAGTGTCTTTGACCGTGTACGCGCTGACTCATGGCGAATTGTCTGCGTCGGTAGCATTCACGGCACTTTCGGTCTTTGGATCTCTAGAATCTGCTTTGGCGAGCTTGCCTGATCTAATGTCCAAAGCAATGGAGGCTAAGATTAGTGCTTCTCGCATTGATCAATACTTGAACTCGGCAGAAAAAGCTCCCTATACATCTGATGTTGACAAGATATCGTTCGACAACGCCACGATTGCATGGCCGGCACAGGATGACGAAGACGAGCAATCTGATTGGGAAGATGAAGAGCGATTTTGCCTTCGCAACCTTAACATTCGATTTCCGCCTAAAGGCCTGAGTGTCATTGCTGGCAAGACTGGCTCCGGAAAGAGCTTGCTTTTGGCCTCAATCCTAGGGGAATGCGATGTCTTGGGTGGAATGGTGGCCATTCCGCATAGCCCCCCGTCTGCTGAACGATTTGATGAGAGAGCAACACGTCATGACTGGATTGTTGACACAGCTGTGGCTTATGTGGCCCAGAACCCATGGATGGAGAATGCGACAATCAAGGATAACATTCTTTTTGGTCTCCCTTACGATCGCTACCGATACCGCAAAGTCCTCCGTGCTGTTGCATTGCAGAAGGATATAGATATGCTACCAGATGGTGACTATACGGACATTGGTGCTAATGGGATCAATCTTAGCGGCGGTCAGCGGTGGCGTATATCATTCGCGCGTGCTCTATACTCGCGAGCAGGAATACTGATTATGGATGATATTTTCAGCGCGCTTGACGCTGAAACAGGACGTCACCTTTATGAGCGTGCCCTGACAGGAGAACTCGGTCAGAATAGGACTCGGATTCTCGTCACCCACCATGTGGGTCTCTGCCTGCCTCGGACAGATTATTGTGTTCTTCTTGCGGATGGAATCATGATCCACGCCGGGACGAAGGAGGAATTGGCCGTAGCCCAAAATCTGGCCGACTTTCTGGATCAGACTGCCGAAACAACAGTGCCTGAAACCCCTACCGAGGTGCAGGGACCCAAAGTATCATCGAAGCGTGTGTCCACGAACTCGCGAAAGTCTACGAACTCGCGTCTCTCGACGGCCACCAGCATTCATACCCTCAGGAGGTTTACTGAAGATGAGAAGCGTGAGAGGGGGGCTGTTTCTACCAAGGTCTACGTTGCGTATCTGACCAAGGGAAACTGTCTCCGTCTTTGGACAGTGGTCTTCCTGGCGTACAGCGCTTTCATGGCTCTTCTAGTCGGTCGGGTATGGACATTCCTGATAACTCACAGATCCCTGGTTCTTGATAGCTAACAGCACTAGTCCTGGTGGGTCAGCGTCTGGACAAGTGCGTCCACCCCATCGTCTGATGAAACAAATCTCGCACGTGTTCGCGATGACACCAGGAGCCAAGTCTGGACATTCGAAGCCGACGAGGATTTGATGTTCTATCTTACCGTGTATATTGGCTTCTCTGTCGCCGCATGTATAGTGGGCACAATCCGCACATTAGCTCTCGCATTCGCTTCGCTTGGATCCTCCCGTCAACTATTTAATGATCTACTGTATACCGTCCTGAGATCTCCTCTGCGATGGCTGGATACCGTGCCCACTGGTCGCATTCTCAACCGGTTCACATCTGACATCAACATCCTTGACTGGAGGCTTGGATACGACATTGGCCACCTTGTTTACAAAATCTTGGAGTTGGTAGGTATTCTCGCTGCCGGACTGCTAGTCTCACCTCTTCTTCTGGTGTTCGCTTGTATTCTGCTTGCTCTTTGTTTTCAACTGTCGAGGATCTATCTGGTTGGCATGCGAGAGATCAAACGATTGGAAAGCACCTCAAAAAGCCCGGTTTTGGAGCGTTTTGGATCTACCTTGGTCGGACTTGGGACCATTCGTGCCTTCCACAAGACAGAGGTATACATCAAAGACATGTATGCTCGAATTGACCGACACGCACAAACAGCCTGGTACCTTTGGCTCCTGGATCGTTGGCTTGGCATCCGGATGAGTATTGCAGGCGCCCTTCTGTCAACGATTACAGCGGCGCTAGTCGTGTACATCCCCCACATCACCCCTGCGCTGGCAGGCTTCGCCATGAGCT